CTTTGTGGTTTTTCACTTATCGTGGGGCTTCAGGGTACAGATCCCCCGTGATAAACGAGGAACTACTGTATTCACAATGGAGTATAGTAAACATTTAAAATGTTTAAACTAAGAAAATTCAGTTAAAATAAACAAGGTCTCTTAAAATTTTCTTCATTCAACCCTTATTTGGATAGATAAGTCACATTGAGTCTTGAAGACTCATTTACAAGTGAGATCTGTTTAGACGGACAAAAAGTTGTGAAACTGGACACATAGGAATTGGAGGCGAAAAAATTCCTATCAGACTTTTTCTTCTTGGCTGAGAAGAAAAACTCTAATATTAAAAAACACCTCGCACAAACAAGCACATAGTAACGTAGATATTCTGCATGGGGGAGATGACGAGAGTGGTGAGCATGATCATAGATGCTCTCGAGGTTACTGTAAGAGTTCTGATAAGGATGAAATAATCAATCAATGTCCTCCGTTGAGATCCGTAAACATTCTCGAGGTATGTCGGGGAATAGCCAAGGATAATGCATATGAGAATCTGAGTCCTGAAATGATGACACAAAGTTTATTCAGCTGGTTTCATCTGGTTATCAGTTGGAAATTCCTCAGGAAAGGGTGGTGAGCATCAGATCACATGTTCTCCAGGTGAATTCAGATAAGATGGCCTTCAAGGCCAGCCCAGGGAGCCAAATTCAGATAAACACACAGTTCTTTTGGGGACAGGCAGAACTTAATGACAGCTACCTTGAGTCTGTGTTGGTCCACTCGGTTCTGAAATGTCCATATTACATGGCCACGCCGATGGAACGTAACTGAGTAAAATCCCCAAGATCTGATCCATTCTGCCCAAAGCATTTGAGTCTGGGTACTCGAGGCACGAACCAAGCCATCATAAAGGCAAGCAGCGTGATCGGGTCCAAATTTGCTGCCGACGACTTCCTGGATTGTTGATAAAACCAGCAACCAGCCAAATCCAAAAAGCAGGAACCAGTTATCAAAAATCCAATTAAATATGCGTCCATAAAATCCACAAATGGCAGCAGAAATAAACATATCAAGTCTTCAAGTCGATGAGATATCCAGCTGTGTGCATGCCAACAGGGCAAATCGGCTCGCCTAAAGCCCGCCTCCTCTTCGAAGAAATGTTATCAGTTGTGTTGAGGGACCAACTGATCAAAAGTCCATAATTATGGTTTGGAAGATGCAAAAGAGGCTCAGAAGCAGTTTCACAGACAGACAGAGCAGCAAAGCAAAGCGGAGAGGAAGGGGAGGGGAAAGCATCCGACCTCGACAACAGCAAGTGGTGAATTGAATTATGTCAGCAACACATCTCAAAAAGAGATGGCAGGAGCAAGAAAACCTCTGTAAAGATAGGGGTGCAAATAAAATACAGCTGGAGAAGCATTTTACAATTAGTTACAAATATACAAATAGTAACTGCTGGTAATCAGGGAAAAAGCTAAAACCAAAGATGTTTAGGACTGCAATTTGTTATATTTTTCAGTTTTACAAATCTTATGTAAACTACAGCACTCAATCATCCAAAATATTTGACAAAAAAACAAAACCTGAAACATATTATTCCATTTTCACACGTTCAGTAAATTTAAATACAGTCCCTACTCACAGTCTTAGTCTTTTTATATTTAAACAGCTTCAACTCACCGACAACAAAAAAGATGAGTGTGTTGGTGAAGTGCTGATATAACGAGAGCTTAACCACATTTCTGCGGAGCTTCAGGAGACGAGTCGTTTGCGAGAGGCTGATGAAAATGTGAATGTTAATTAAGGAGAATGCTGTTTGTATACATGGAAATAATATGATAATTCCTGTTTGGTCTGAGAAGACCTTCAGGCTGGCTGAGGAAAGGATATCCACCACATGACACAAGAGTCAATGAGGGAGAGGCTAAGATTAGCCACAAGTGCGACCGTGCCATAGAAACCCTGTAGAAAGAAAAAATGAGCAGAATTGGTAAACAAGATTAATTTAACAATAGAAAACAGCAGTAACCTGAAATGAACAAAAAGAAATCATTACTATTTTTTAAACATAAAAAAAATTCTACATTATTTACATTTTCTAATCTTGTGCTTTTATAAATCATTTAACTTGCTATAAAGTTGTATCTTATTTTGAAAATTGATCTTCAACTAGCCTTTTCATTATAATTAGTCTGCCTCCTGTAGTTTGAATCCCTGTGTAACCAACAGCAGCATTCCAAGGCAAGTTGAAACATTGGCAAATTAAAAATATACACAAACAGTATATTTATTAGTATTTAAAAAAAGGTGATTGTATTTATAGTTCGGTATGAAAACTGGCTCTATAAAAGGCTGTTTTGAAAAGCAAGATTGACAAAAACGTTTCCAGAAAGTCAACAAATTGTTTCTTTGTTGTTTGAAAGAAAAAAAAAAAATAAAATAAAAATGTTGCCCAAAGAAAGAAATATATTTTCTATTTTCTCCATCTTAATTGCATATTATAATTTAAGAATCTTTAAAAATCTGCAGGGATTTTAATGGTCAAAAAGCCCCAAAACAGCTTTATAGCTGGACTGTGGTTTGTGAGGGCAGCTGCTGCGGTCATTACTACCATCAAGCTGCTGATCGGACCTGCTAACGATGCTAACAAGACCTGCTTAACAACGCTAACAAGACGTGCTTAACAACGCTAACAAGAC